GCGGAGGCGGCGGCGGAGGTGGTGGTACTGGAGGCAGAAACCGCCCGCTTGGTTCCTGGCCTACGCCCGATGACGTCACAGACGACCTTTGCATTGTGGGATGGTTGGTTTTCGGCAACCATCTCCGGCGTTCTTATAGGCAGAAGTCTGTCTCACGGAAACTACAACTCCCAGGAAGCTTTGAGCTCGCTCTGCGCGAGTTCGTGGGGCAGCATGGGAATTGTAGGCTCTGGCCGTCGTGATAGCTGCAACCACCTGGCATTCCCCGGCCACGTATCAGCACGTCCCAAGAGGGCCTGTTTATAAAACTCCTCTGCGAAGCTGACTAGATTATCAGGCTTATCTTTTAAGGATGATGGTTCAGTATTTTTGGCTTGGGGATCTGTGCTTTTGAGGTGGACTCCCCAGTCCTCTCTGAAAAACATGATCCGGGAAATTGAACAAACATAGAAATAGTCATATTTCTATTCAAAACTGTGTAACACACACTTCTGATTTTAATAGAAATGCATGCTCATTTTTAGAAAACTGGAAAATAACAGGAGAATGTGAAGAAGAAAATGAGTAACCCTTAAGCATTTCTTACATGTATGGATTTTCTCCCAAATATTAAATATTGTCAGTATCACTGATAATAAACTAATACTGAATAACTGAAATGTTCCAGGTGTGCTGTTATGCACTTTAAACACACTACTTCACAACTATCTGAAAGCAGGTACTATTATTATTATTATTATTTTTTTCAGATGCAGAGATGGAGGGTCGGGAGAATTTGTTACCCTGGCTGTATTCTGTACCTAGAGATGAAAGGCATTATTCAGTCATCTGGTGATGGGCTGACTGCTAATCGAGCTGTACTTTGCCAATTCATGATTTCCATCTAAAGTGAGGAAAAGAAATTTCAACTGATTGGCAATAGAAGGGTGAGATTTGAACCCAGATCTCTGGAATTCAAATCTTGCATGTTTAAGGTATCCTACAGCCTAAGAACTTCCTGGCATCACACGATACATAAAACTTCATGTCCTGTTTTTTATAGCCATAGTTCATCATTGGAATCCTCCAGGTGCCGCCACTATCCTCTCTTCCTTATCTCCTTTGGTCTGATGGCTCTGTTGCTACCAACCCTGGCAATTACGTCTGCCATTATTTTCTCATCTTACACGAGCAATGGAAGGGATGCAAATAATAAATCCTGCAATATTCTTTTCTCCTGGGAAGATTCAGAATAGGCAGAGATTCAGAATGATCTGTACTTCAACACTTCCCACCAAAGAGTTTAAACTAGCTCCCAAAATAAATACCAGGTGTTAGATTATACTCCTTTAGCAACAGCTTATTCTCAATAGTTTTAAATTAATGACTTTCTCTGTCGATAGTTTACCATCCTAGGGATTACCTGAGTTGACCTCACACTGGTCAGTCACCCTTAACCTCAGAAGAGGTGCAGTTGAGGTTGTCTCCAAACTCTGATCCCTCTTCACCAGCTTTGTCTCTGTTTTTGGAATACCGTATGTTCTCTAGCATCAAGGTACACTATTCTAGTTTCCAAACCTTGTCTCATCTAGTCTCCCTTACACAGACTTCTAGACTCTCGTTGTTGTAGAAATTATTGTAATTGAAAGTTTTATGGGTTAATGGCTACCTGCTTCCCCAGTGGAATATAAGGTTTAGAGCAGGAACTATAACTTGCTCATCACTCTGGGCACACATTACCTACCTCAAATGAATGTATAAGTTCCTCTCTGTTTCCTGTAGTCAAAGAATAGGGTCAGAGAGTGTAAGGGTGGGCACAGTCTTCAGAAAAGAAATGTGTAATTTCAGATGATAATTTCAGATCTTGGAGGCTGACAGTAGAAGGTTCACATTGGCAATCTCACTTTCTGTCATGGGGCCCTTGTGTTCCAGACTCTAGATCTCTATACCCATGACCTTGCCTCTGGACTTGATATACATGGTGTGGGCTGGAGGTGGGTGGAGGACGAGGAATAAAGGTGGTCAAGGGAATAAAGGGAGATTCATTATAAATCCAAGCCTTGCAATAGGGCTTCACTACATCCACAATGTGCTCCTCTGCAGCAAAGAGACATGTAATATAAATGATTGCCATCAGGGGGCGCCATTGCTGTATTAATAATCCAGAATAGTCGGAAATGTGATTTAATTTTGGCCTAGGTGATAATCTTGTTTTCACGTATCTTTTTGGTAATGAATTATTGTTGATTCTCAGCGCTAAATTTTATCTGTAACAGGCTTCTTGAGTCTAGTGAAATTACAAGTACTAGATGTTAGAAAATTTTATGTCAAAGATTTTGTGAAAAGGTGGAATATCACTAAGCCCAAATCCAGATATTGCAGAAACTAGAGAAGAGATCTGTGGTTTTCCAAGGGAAGCATGAAAAAGTAGACAGATTCATGGGCTGTTTGCATCAGATGGCATTGGATTGGATCTTAACTCCATCCTTTGGAGGTGATATGTCTTTGGGAACGTTACACCACCCCTCAAGGGCGCACTTCCCAGGAGAGTGGAAATTAAGTGTAGTCCTGACAGTCCATTAGCATAATGTCAATACCTTACCAAATGCTGTATATCATCCTACCATCATGAATTTATGTTTGGTTAAGAGGGAATTTGATTAACCTCTATCTTCCCCAGTGACCCCCACATTCCTTCCACAAAGGTGGATATCAGTACATCTGTAGCACCGAGTATGGTGCCTGGTACATGCAAGCTCTCCATAAGTATATGATGGATGAGTGAAAGGAAAAAAAACCATTAAACTAGAAAACCTTTAAGAGTTTGGGAACTGCCCTGGACCAAATGTCGGAGCACAGTCAGTCTTCAGAAGGATCAGTATAATTGAGTGGTCTATCCATAGTGACTAAGGGGCTGGGCCTGGGAGCAAGGCCAAAGATGAGAGGTGGGTCTGTCTGCGGGTTGCCTTGGTAACCTTACCACTTTCTGGTCTAGGATCATGGTCCTTAAGCAGGAGCATTTCAGCGCCCTAACATTCAACCCAAGTCTGGCTTTAGATACCACATCCAGTTGGGCAGACCGGTTACTGATTGGTCCTTAGTCTTCATAGAGTAGTAACTCTTCTTCTTGCCTGCTTGTTCATCCAAGGAGCCTTGCCATTTCCTAGGCTGGACAGATGTTCACTTCCTAATTACCAGCATCCAGTTTCTTGAGATTGTCTGCCTGTAGCATGTTGTCTACATCTGTACCATCCGATCTTTGCTTCTTTTTTGTGTCTTTCTTTTTGATGTTTTTCAGCATCTCTGATGACATACTGGATCCAAATACACAGTATGAAAAAAGGGTTTTAATAAGCAGAAATCCTCAGTCCCAATCACCACTGCTACTTCCTCTCCCCCCAGGCCATGTCTCAGACAGGATTTCAGGCTGCAGTGCGTCTAACAGACTGTCATTTCAAGTTGTTAATACTAAAGGAGATCTGGTGAAGAGGCAACCTGTTGTAAAATAAAGATGAATGAGAAGTTTAGAATCTGATTTGAGTTTGTGTGACCTAAAGTAATCCACTAGACAGTCTGAGCCTCAGGGTGTTTATCTATAAAATGGTGATAAGCATGTCTACCTTGCAAAGGTTTCACAAAAAATTAGTTTTACATATATATATATATATATATATATAACCCAGCACACAGTAGGCCTTCAATAGTTAATGGTATTGGCTTATACAATATCCTAATGTGTTTACTTACAGTCTGTTGTTAGGCAGAAATCCTGACTAATATATATCTAATAGTTTTAATTACTGATGATTAAGAAACCTGTCTTGGTTACTTTTCTTTCTGTACTGAGACAAAACACCTGATGCCCAAAATTAAGAAAGGAAAGGTTTATTTAGCTTACAGTTTGTGGAGGTCTCAGTCCACACTGACTGGCTCCGAGGCAGGGTGGCACATGGCAGGAGGCAAATGTTCATGGTGGTGGAAGATAGCAAAGCAGCAAGAGCACAAGGGAGGAGCAATGGTGAGCAGCCTCTTTCCCTCCCTTACATTGTATGCAAACCACCTGCCCCAGGGTAGGTGAAGCACTCACACCCATGACTGCATGAGGCTTTAGGGGGACATTCAGACACAAACCATAACAAAACCATTCAGCCAATCTTGAAATGGATGGACTCGGTGAAGTCAAGTTCACACCCAGGTTCTGTGTGCTATTCCTGCTGAGGTCTAAATCTGCCTCTATCATTGTCTTCACACTTTCAAAGCAACTCATTCTTCAGCCACACCCCTGACCTCCTCAGTTACTTCTAGGTGTCTCTCTAACATCCATCACCTTTTTTTTATAAACAAGATCCAGTTTTGTTTGGGGCTGCAATGTACCCTGCTGAAGTATCTACTTCCTTAGATTTTCTCACTGTTTGGGGTAATTACAGGTCCCAGTTCTGGCCAAAGAAATGTAAGCTGAGGGTTTCTGGGATAGAAGCACCACCCTTCCTGATGTAGCATCCCTTTTCCCTCCTGCATGGAGGTTCAGAAGCCACAGAGTAACTCCCCAGAGGTTGGTTAGGGCCATGTAACTAGGTGTGGATAAGGAGTTACTGTGAGCAGAAGTGGCTTGTGTCACTTCCAGGCAAGAACATTTACATACTGATATTAGACATCCTTGGAGTTCTCTTTCAATCTGGCATTATAACTACATCAATTTGAAATGATGGCTGATCTATCTTCTTGGGCCTGCAGGGAGATGCATGCAGCACAGGCCCCAGCTCACCATCATGAACATATACCATGAGCAAGAATATGGCCTTGATACAACTGCCTAATGTTGCAGCATTTTGTTTTAAGCCACTGAGATTTGGAGTTCTTTGTTACTACACCATAACATAGCCTTTCCTCACTGATAAAAACCTGGTAATATCCTTTGTTCAATCCATCATTTGTGGAATGACCAAACATAAAAGCTAGTGATGAGTGACTGAAAGCATGAATGACTCAGATTCTTTCTCCTGGGTTATAGCTTGACAGGAGGGTCACTATAGATAATGATACATACTGTACATTTTTAAAATGCTGGAAGAAAGGATTTTGAATATTTTCATCATAAAGAAGTGACAAATACTTGAGGAGATAAATATGTTTAACCTGACCTTGCCCTAAGTGTAGATATATTGAAACATCACATGCTACCCTCAGATATGCACATTTTTCATGTTTTGTGTCAGTTAAAAATAAATTTTGTTTGAATTAAGAATTCCTTCTCCTGAGCCACATTCTGTCATATCATTTCTAGGAATGTCTATAAATCAACTCAGTCCATTATGTATCTCTCTTTAGACAGCTTAGATCTGTCCTTCAGTTTTAGTGTTTATGAAAATCCCCCACGAGCCTCATTGAAAATATAGATGCCCAGTTGCTGTAGTTTGCATCTGGAGTGTCCTCCAGGTGTTGAGGGCTTGGTGCTACTGAGGGTGGTGGAGGTTTTAGGAGATAGGACTGACTGAGATGAGTCAGGTCATTGAGAGTGTGCGCTTGAGGGAGATATTGAAGCCCTGACTCTTCTTTCTCTCTTTGCTCCAGGCCTCCTTCAACTTGCACTCCCAGCATGATGTATTGTGCCATCACAGGCCCAAAGCAACAGAGTCAAGTGAACATGGACTGAAGCTCTCAAACTGTAACCCAAAATAAACCTTTCCTCTTTTACACTTGTTACCTCTGGTATTTTATCACAGCAACAGAAAGCTAACACACCCCCAAAACCTACAGAACTAATCTCTAGAGATAGGTCACAGTCAGCTTCATTTTAAAACAAATTGGGGTACTGATAATGAGGCAGAGTTCAGAACTGTTGCTGTTCCATGTAGAGTTTTCAGACTTCATCAACAGGGCAGAAGAGTGGTTATTCTAAGTATGTGGGTTTTCAGCTTCTCTCTGCTGTTCTTTTATCAACTCCTCCTCCTATCCTCCTTGCCTGTTACCATCTGGTTACTTTGATTTACAAATGATTCCCCTTGGTGAAGATTCCCCTTAACATGCAGGGTGAGCTCTATGAGTGTTGTCTGCTTGCTGTCCTTGCATCTCTTGTCTGTAAAAAGAAGGGAGTTGTTTTCTTTTCTTTTCTTTTCTTTTCTTTTCTTTCTTTTTGGTACAGGGAATTGAACTCACAACCTCACGCTTGCTAGGCAGGCGCTGTGCCTCTGAGCTATATCCCCAGTGGGAGTTGTTTTCAAACAGAGCACTAATATCTAGAATATGCAAAGAAATAAAAAAAATTAAACCACCTAAAATTAAAGCCCCCATCAAGAAATGGGCAAGAGAAATGAACAATGAACAGGCACTTCACAGAGGAAGAAATGCAAATGGTCAACAAATGTTTGAAAAAATGTTCAACCTTTTTGCCCATTAGAGAAATGGAAATTACAACAACCCTAAGATTTTACATTGTTTTGGAAAAATGGCGATCATTAAGAAATAAGACAATAAATGGTGGTGTGGTGAAAAAGGAATCCTCTTGCACTGTTGGTGGGAACATAAACTAGTTCAACCATTAAGGAAATCAATATGCAGATTTCTCAAAGAACTGGAAGAGAAATTCCATATACCCAGCTATCCCTCTTGTAGGTATCTTCCTCAAAGAGCTTTTGACATCGTACTATAGTAATACCTGTATAACAATGTTTATAGCAGCACAATTAGTGATAGCTAAATCCTGGAAGCAGCCTGAACATCCATCAACAGATGGTTGGATAAAGAAAATGTGGTACTTATATACAATGCAATACTAATCAGCTACAAAGAATGACATTTGAGACATTTGTATGAAAATGCATGCACCTAGAAAATAAATTTTTTTGTTTGTTTGTTTGTTTTTTTGGTTTTTCTCCGGTACCGGGAACCGAACTCATGACCTTGTGCTTGCCAGGCAGGTGCTTTGCCGCTGAGCTAAATCCCCAGCCCTGAAAATACAATGTTGAGTGAAATAAACCAGGCACATAGGCTTAAATACTATGGTACCTCTCACGTGAGTGAGACAAAGTACAAGCAAAGAGAATATTAAAAGATAGATAGGAGGAGCAAAGGGATGAATCTCTTGCAATAGGGAAGAGGTCCAAGGGAACAAGGGCAAGGGGTGAGGAGGAAGGGAAGGGAAAATAAGAGGAATAAAGATGTGTCTTGCACAGGAACCTAATAACCTCAATGACTGTAAATATTATATGCCATAACATGAGCTAAAATTAATAATATCCATAAGAAAGACAATTGGGATGGGGAACTGGAGGTGGGGGAGGGCGGGGAGAGGGAAGGGGAAGGGGACTGAAAAAAAGAAACAAGCTGTAGTATGTACATGTAGCCACTCTCCCAGAGGATTGTGAACTGCATGTACTGCAAACATTTACTAATGGGAAAAAGAAGAGAGATGAAAAGGTGCCAAAGAGCAGTCTGGGAGAGGCGTCAGTAATGAATAATCGAACAAACCCTGTCATAACACAGTGTGATATATTATTTTGCTACTCCTAGCATAATGCAAAAATTAATATATATCATGCATATAAATTAATAAGTGTGATGTGCGCCCTGTGGTGAGATGATGGGACAGAATTTATCATGGTGGACAAATGTCTTCTTTGTTCTTAAGCATGTGTCTCTGACGTTATATGTCTAGCTTTATTTGGAAAGAATATGGAGATTTGAAGGCTCTGGACTGTGGGGTCCAGTCAGTGGCCTTCCTTTCATTCCACCACGGCCCTCTCCATCTGCCTCCTGCAGCATGATGAGTCTAGGACAGGCATAGAGAGGGCTAGTCCTGGGTGTCCGGGTGTAGTTAGGTATGGTGGCTGAGGCACAGGTTGCCATCTTTCTTCAGCTAGATCCCATCTGAAGCCAGCAAAAGTATCTGAACCATGGGGAACCTCTTCCATTTCTGAGGCCAGAGCTGGCCCTAGCATCTAAAGGAGATGGTGAGGAGAACAACAGGAAGCCTCAGACAGGGAAAGGAAGTCATATTGATTGAGTGCCTACTACATACCTGTCTTAGTTACTTTTCTCTTTTTGCTGACACAAAATACCCAACACCCAAAGTTAAAAGGGGGAAAGGTTTATTTAGCTCACATTTTGTAGAGGTTTCAGTCCATGGTTGGCTGGCTCCAAGGCAGTGAGGCACATTGCAGAGGAGCAACAGTTCATGGTGGCAGAAGACAGTAAAACCAATTGGGGAGAGAGAGGGGTGGGGTGGGAGCTCTTCTGTCCCTTACATTGTATGTAGGCTGCCCACCCTAGGGTAGGTGTAGCACTCACACCTTTAATCCCAGCATTGGGCCATGAATTAATCACAAACTCTAGATTCAGCCACCTTCGAAAAGCCCAGCCCTCCATGACTACATGAGGATTTGGGAGAACATCCAGACACAAACCATAGCAGTACCTGAGCTGAGTTGAGACCTCGTACCCTAATACCTGTAGTAGGGACAATATGCAAGCTAGACTGATGTTATTCCTATTTTGCCAAAAAGAAGAATAAAGTACGGAGAAAAGTCAGTCTTAATATCACAGCAAGTGTTTAGACAAGGCCTATCTGATGCCTAAAACTGGGGACTTTCTTTCTATAAGGTATTGGGAGGACTGTGTCCTTTTGAGACAGGCTTGGAGGGGGATCATGGCTCTGCCACCATGTATCTGGATTGGCGGCTCATCTCTTTCTTCTGGGAGCCTCAGGTTATTTGTGTGTGGTGAGGAAAATAGCATAACCTACCTTGCAGGGATGCTTTGAGAATTCTGTGAGACAGCTCTTGGCAGGTGCTAAATTCTAGACCTGTGCCAACTCTGCTTATTTTAGAGAGAAGAAGCTCAGTTGTAGTGGGTTGCTGAGCAGGAAAGAGGGCCGTGAAGGGGTGAGAAGTTGTGTAGGTCTTAATGCTCCTGAGTTCTAGGAGTTTTCTCAGGAAAATGGCGGTTGCTGGATGTGGTCCCTAATGGACGCAGCCTTCTGCCTACTTCCACAGCAACTGCTGTGCTCTCCTCCCATTCACCCTGGTGAAATTTAGGATTTGTTGCTGTTACCACAGCATTACCCAGCCGGACTTGACTGATATGTGCATGTTCACCGTCACCTTGGTTTACTTGAATTTGAATCCCCTCCCCGTTTTGACTGAGTTCTTCATCCTTTGAGCCTGGTTGGGAGGCAGAACCTTCCTATAGATGGTAAAAAGGCCAGACCTCGTTTTCCCAGCATCCCTTGCAGCTCAGGTATGTAGTCAAAGCCTGCAGAAACGGTGCAGTGGCTATAGTGCTGCGGTGCCAGCTGCGTTTGTAGTGACTGTAGTAGTGATATTGCTGGGGTGGATCTAGAGCAGAGTTTTTGCTGTGATTCTGGTTGTTGACCTGCCTTTTTTCACACTTGCTTCATAAGTCTGGTTCTCCCGATTTCCTGACTATTCTGTAAGAAACCCAGAATCCTTTCAACCAATTCCCTTTCAGCTTAAATCACCTACTCCATTTACACTGCTTGTGACTAGGGGCCTTGCCAGGACAAATCTACCACGTGATTATTGCAGTAGTTCCCCTAATCTGTGGGGAAGACATTCAAAGACACTCAGTAGATGCCTAAAATTGCAGATAGTGCTTAACCCTGTATTTGCTAAGTTTCATTCTTATTGCAGATCTTAGCAACTTCAGCATACATTTCTTTCCTTATCAAGCAGAGAATTTGCACATTTTTTTGCTCAAAGGAAACATTTTACAGCTTTCTTTTGGTATATGTGAATTTCCAACTCCTTATGCTGAGATTTGGGGCCATTATTTTTACAATCAGGGTTGTTTGAACATAAGCAATGTAATACCACAATAGTGGGTCTGAGGCCTGAGATAGTTACTAACGGATGGGTAATGTATACAGTGTGTATGTGCTGGACAAAGGGATGATTTACATCTCAGATGGGACAGAGTAGGACAGTGCAGAGTTCATCATGCTTCTCAGAACTTTAAAACTTACTTGTTTCTGTAATTTTTCATTTAATATTCTTGGGCTGCAGTTGACAGCTGATAACTGGAGTCATGGGAAGCAAAACACTGAATGAGGGAAGACTGCTGCATAAATGTTAATTGCATGCTTATATGAAGCTGGAAAATCTTAGCAGGCGTGACAGGGTAAAGTCAAACCTGAGCCTGTCCTGTCACTTCCCTCTTAGAAGGTCACAGAGCAGCCCTCTCAGTTCAGATCCATCTGAGGCTTTGCTCAAGGTACCAGAGACACCAGCCTTCAGGTAATGAAGATTCCTGGTAGGCTTGGTAAACACAGAATGGCATAGAAGTGGGAAAAGTCATTAGAGACTATTTCACTCAACCCTCTTAAGTTACTAAGTTCAGAGAGGGAGAGGTACTAATGCCAAAGTCACACAGCAGTTCTGTAGCCGAGTTTGGGGTTGGGGTGATAAACTTTTTGTTATTCTATTGGCTGTAATCTGAGGACAGAGTTGTGCTGTACCTAAGTTTGCAAAAATGAACTGGAAATAAGGCAAGTCTCCTTTAGAGCAACGACCCCTGTTTCATAAGAACCTATCGACAACGGATTCTCATTTCCGCCTAGAGAAAGATCCTGAGAGGGCCTTTCTCCGTTGCTTTCTCAGCCACCTAAAACACTTTATTGAGAAAGGGTGAAAAATTGCTGAATTGATCTTTTTAAATGAGCACGAAT